TCGTGTGTGTGTGTGTGTGTGTGTGTGTGTGTGTGTGTGTGTGTGTGTGTGTGTGTGTGTGTGTGTGTGTGTAGTGTGTAGTAGTGTGTGTGTGTGTGTGTGTGTGTGTGTGTGTAGTAGTAGTAGGTAGGGTAGGTAGGTGTGTGTGTGTGTGTGTGTGTGTGTGTGTGTGTGTGTGTGTGTGTGTGTGTGTGTGTGTGTGTGTGTGTGTGTGTGTGTGATCGTAAATGAGGCTGATGCTTGGCCTTTGTTTGAAATATGAAACCGCTCTCAGCTGTGTAATATTACAGCAATAGAACAGCAATCAGACGTTAATTGAATCTGGGTTATGACTTTTCTGTGTTCTCCCACAGCTGAGTGTCTCTCCGGTTTTTCCTCCCCGTCTATCTCTGTTCCTCCCTCCTTTTTCTCTCTGTGACTTGTGTTTTTATTATTCCTGTATCCCTAACTAACCCACTTTCTTCATCCCACTGCCTGTCCGTGCTGCTTTCCCGTGCACGTCATAAATCTCGGAGCATGTCTCCCATCATGCCCGCCCCTCCCTGCTCTTTCCTCTGTGGTTATCTGATGCCACAGCATGCGGCAGGACCCCCCTTTCTGCTTCACTTACACCATTCACGTCTCATTAAAAAGTCCTCTGGTGAAATGTCGCCGTCTTAACTATACCCTTCGACATGGGACACTGGCTTTCAGATGTAGAAAAGTGATGTGCGTCTTTGTGCATGTAAGTGTGCTTGGGAGGGCCCTCATGTGTGTCATTGAATCTACACTCCAACATTGTGTGTTGCGCTCAAGAAAAAAAAAAAGTCAAAAGGAGATCATATAATAGCATAAATGTGATTTGGTTAATGAGAAACAGTAGTTTCCATATATTTGACTGTTTTTATATCTTATTTTCCCAGTCAGAAACTGCTAAATGTCTAAATAGTCATTTTATCAAATGTTTGGTGAAGTCTAAACTGCAATATTAGGCTATGTTAGTTCAATTCTTGATTGTCTATGTTATTAAAAACATAATAATGATCCCGTAGGCATCCAGGAATTGCGCTACACTAAACAACTACATTAAAGGGGGTGTTTCAGTGCTTTTTCTATGTAGTATAAATATTTAAGAAAACGATAAGGGCACTTTGAGAGAGCACAGACCTCTGCCAAGAATATTTCCATAAGTGAAAAATAATGCTCTTTGCCGCCCGTAATTCTGACCTACTCCAAAATGTAATGGGTTCTTTTATGGCCGACTGTTCGCCCTTCTACCACGTTTCATGAAAATCGAGCTTGGAGTCTTGTAATCTTGCTGACAAACAGCCAAACGCACCAACAAACAAACAAACCCAACCAAGAACATAACAGGGTAATAAGGGATAGTAGCCATAGCTAGGATGTTTGCTTGTCACCCCTTCTTCTTCAACAGTTAGGATTTGGGTTCAGGCATAAGGTTATAATCACGGTAGGGTACAGGTTAAACATGCATTGGAGGCTGTGAAAGTCAAATGTAGTGGTATGTATCCTCACAAGCGCAGTAATACTATTTACTATGTGCTTGTGTGTGTGTGTGTGTGTGTGTGTGTGTGTGTGTGTGTGTGTGTGTGTGTGTGTGTGTGTGTGTGTGTGTGTGTGTGTGTGTCCCCTCCTTCGTGAAATGGGAGACTATCTATTCAGTCTGACCTTTTCCTTAATTGCTTAGTTTGGGTTCTGTCTCTGCTCATTTCAGGAACAGTTGCCTCCCTGAAATGACTGCTGACTCCCAATTGTCTCTGGCAGAAACTCGCTTTANCAGACCCCAACGGGACAGGGACATGGAGTGGCGAGGACCCCCGGCAGGAGGATTAGTCGGCGGGACCCCAACGGGACAGGTTACTAGTTCTGGTCCATCCGTTGTCTCCCTTTCAGAATTGTGGTTCTCTTGACCTTTGTGTCTGACCCCCACCAGTAGATCATGCCCTTCAGCATTGAAGTCTTGGACCTTTGTGCTGATCCCCACCATAGATCCATTGGCCCTCAGCATTGGAAATCTTGGATTGGACCAGACTAATACATTTCTAATGTTAATACATGAAAAGCATCACAGACCGAAGAATAGTGATGTTAATCTATTAATGCTGTAAATTCCTCTTAATATGTCGTAATTACATTACAAATGTGTTTTATTAGATAGTGATTATATTGTTATGCCAATATTTCCTATGGTAAAGTTTCGTTTTTGCACTTTATTTGTATAATAAAAATCGGGACTCTTTATTTGAAGGAACTTTACCGAAGTGATGCGACAACGTAGCAGAACTGTACCATTTATATATTCGCCTCCCAAGACTTTACGACATTTCCTCTTTGCTTTTCGTTCGGTTCATCTGCGCTTTATCAGTTGAATCACTTCGAAACATTAGTTTGAGATGTTGACTGGTGCCGAAACTTTTTACCCACAGTCAAACAACTTAATTTGCTTCGCCATGTTTTGAAAACAAACACAAGGCACGCGCACGCGAGTAAACGACGGTGCATCCTTTCTGGCTCCCGAATCACAGCCAATGCACTTGCACTAGTATCAGGTCCGACTGGTCACAACAATAATTAAATATCACTTAATACAACAAAACAATTAACCATTATCTATTTTGGGAAACACATTTAGCTGTTTGCTGTTCTATTTCTTCATGTAAAAACGTGGTTGCCACTGATGGCAACCAAAGGCCAAGAAGTGGTTGACATTTTTTTTGCTGAATGGTGCCAATGTGCAACCTGGCAACCGTTACTGTCTGAGCCCTGGGTTGCAGACCCCAGTGAGGAGAGTAGCTCGAGCGGACCCCCCAACGGGACAGGAAACAGGATGGCAGGACCCCGGCCAGGACCTCCAACAGCACGGACATTAGGGTTGGCAGGACCCCCGGAAGAAGAGTAGCGGCGGGGGGCCCCTCCATCGCACAGGAACAGGGGGGCAACCCCCTGCAGAGGAGCAGTCGCGGGACCTCCACACGGGGAACAGACATAGGGTCTTGGCAGGACCTCCGGCAGTGAAGAGTCAGCGGCGCGGGACCCCGCGACAGGACAGGACATGGGTTGGCAGGACCCCCAGCGAACCTACCAACGGCACTTCAGTAGGGACTTGAGTTGGGACTGAGTAGGAACTTGAGTAGGGGCTGGAGAGGGGAAACTCGAGAGGGACCGAGAAGGGGACTCGAGAGGTGACTGAGGGGAACTCGAGAGAGACTTGAGAGGGACTTGAGAGGGAACTTGAGAGGGGACGGCGAGAGGGAACCTGAGATGGCTAGAGTTGGGACTAGAGAAGGACTAAGAGGAGGACTTGGAAGAAGGGCACCTAGAGATGGACTAGAGAGGACTAGGAAGTGACTAGAGGAGACTGACGAAAGGCTTGAGAAGGGAATGAGTAGGGGACTAGAGAGGACTAGAGAGAGGGACTTGAGAAGGACTTGGAGATGGGGACTAGAGTTGGTACTGAGAAGTGACTCGAGAAGTGACTAGAGGTGGACTGCGAGGAGGGACGGGAAGGGACTAGAGAGGGGACTCGAGACGAGACTAGGAAGAGGGACCAGAGAAGGGACTATGAGAAGAGACGTAGAAAAGGGACCAGAGATGGGGGGACTATGGCAGCTGGCCAGAGCTGGGTCTGGAACCATGGCTGCGGGGCCGGAATGGGCCAGAACCTGGGGCCGGAACCATGGCGCTGGGCCAGACTTGGGTCTGGCGACCATGGCTTCTGGGGCTCGGTGCTGCTAGCCTGACTTGCGACTCGCTTCTTTTAGGAAGCGTTTGGAGGCTCCTGGACCTCCCAAAGCCGAGACGAGTTCCAGAGAACGGCTTCTGGACAGGAGCAGGAACTGGGGCAAGAAGCAAAGGCTGACTCCAGAACGGAACAACCGATGGTGTGGTGTCATAATGGGAATGGGAGGCAGGAGCCAGCATGCCTGGGGCTAGGTCAGGCTAGGGGATAACACACAGAGAGGAAATCCAAATCCAGCCAGGTAAGAATTTCACCAAGCCTGGCTTCTCCATAGGTCATCTGGCGCGGCCTCTGGCCAGAGCAGCCTCTCGCTGTGCGAACCCCGGACGCTTCCCCTTCCATCGATGAGAGCAGTTAGCCAAAACAAATAAAACATCCCAATAATTTCCTGCTCAAGAAGGATCTGCTGGGCCGATATCTGGTTGGTTCGATACTCGTTACGGGTTGAGTAAAGAACAGACCCAAATGGCAAGATATACTCTAATTTAACCTTTATTTCAAGGATAAAAAGAATAAACTGAACAAAAAAACAGAACGCCACCGGTGACTCATTCACAATAACAAAAGACGAACCAACCACGAACACAGGAAAGAGAGACTAAATACAGGAGAGGCTAATCATCAAGACGAGAGACACCGGCAGGGCAGAGAACAAAAGGGCCACAGCCGTGAACACAATCATACAACTAGACACACCAGAAACTAAACGCAGAGGAAAACACAGGGGAAAAGGACCAGACAATAAACCAGAAGGAAACAAGACAGGGAAACAGCAAAATAAACCCAACAATACAAAACTACAAAGCGTGACATAACCATACAGAATCGCGGACACATACACTGAATCCATCCATCCATCCATCTTCTCCCGCTTATCCGTGGTCGGGTCGCGGAGGTAGCAGTTCCAGCAGAGAGCCCCAAACTTTCTTTTCCCTGGCCACATCAACCAGCTCTGACTGGGGGATCCCAAGGCGCTCCCAGGCCAGCGAAGAGATATAATCCCTCCACCTGGTCCTAGCTCTACCCCTTGGTCTCTTCCCAGCTGGACGTGCCTGGAACACCTCCTAGGGAGGCGCCCAGGTGGCATCCTTAATAGGTGCCCGAACCACCTCAACTGGCTCCTTTCGACGCGAAGGAGGAGCGGTTCAACTCCGAGTCCCTCCCGGATGACTGAACTTCTCACCTTATCCCTAAGGGAGACGCCAGCCACCCTGCGGAGAAAACCCATCTCGGCCGCTTGTATCCGCGATCTTGTTCTTTCGGTCATGACCCATCCTTCATGACCATAGGTGAGGGTAGGAACGAAGATGGCGCGGTAGACAGAGAGCTTTGCCTTCTGGCTCAGCTCCCTTTTCGTCACAACGGTGCGGTAAAGCGACTGCAGTACCGCTCCCGCTGCTCCGATTCTCCGGCCCATCTCACGCTCCATTGTTCCCTCACTCGAGAACAAGACCCCGAGATACTTGGACTCCTTCACTTGGGGTAAGGACTCATTCCCTACTTGGAGTGGACAGTCCATCGGTTTCCTGCTGAGAACCATTCATTAAGGACCATTTATTCCAAAAGGTTCTTTAATGTTTAGGGGCATACCTTCATTGCTGAAATCCAAAGATTAACAGACAAAGCAAACGTAACTAAATGAGGCATGGCTTAGCGAAACGGTCATTTTGTATCTTTTTCGTAAGCACTTTCTTGGTCAGAGCATTACAAAAAATCTATCTTGACAATAAACTACATTTCAATTAGCCATGTATTGATACCTACAAAAGGTTGCAATGAAAGGGCAATGTGGACTTTCCTCTGGAGGTGATTAACAATGTGCAGTTTTTCCATTATTCAGCCTCTTGAAATATTTGGGTTGGTGACTTGCTGACTCTTGCCTTTCGTTGAAGGGAATTAGAGGAAACATTTATTGTTATTGCTCGAAGGAGGAAGTAGTAATCTCCTCATCAGCTGCTCTGATACTGCGAGACATGAATGCGTGTTCTGTAGTAAAACAAATTAGCAGCCTAGTGGAAGACGTCACAATGAGGTACTGAGATGTAGGTAACACAGGAGCAGAGAACAAGAAGTGCAGTCACATCAATTGGCTTTAAAAGGGAAAAAAACGAGATTACTTCATTCTTAGTTTTTTTTCCTCCTCTGCTCCTCCATTCATTATTCAATGCCTTTTGGCTACTATTAGTTCTTATCTATTCTTGCTCCCTATTATCCTATGAGTTTCAAATTCATTTGCCATCATCTCGTAAAGTGAGCCTGAAACTACCACTCCTCTCCTAGCCCACACAGGAGCCAGCATCCAATCAGCTTCCTCTTTATTAACCCTATTAGCTGAACCTGTAACGCGCTGCCTCCGGCTCCTGGCACTGATGCCAACATCCTAACAGTACGCCCCCCCCCCCACCGAGCTGGGGGGTGTAACTGATTATAAGGTTCATCTGAGATTATGATTATTAATCACAGATGAAGTATTTCCTGTAAAATGGGAGAAAGTTTATAATAGCAATGTTTTATCAGCATAAATGTCTTACTTCTGGCTGAATTGAATACAACTATGAATTAATACATTGTGTTGTGAAATGATTTCGTTTTTGACGTTCGACTCAATTTTTTATATGGAAATTTGATATTTATTGTGAGGCTATACTAATCTGAGCAGCATTTCACCTCTAAGAACTACAATGTACTGACCTGGGTATATTGTCTGAGCTTTGGTGCTCAGCCCTAAATGAGCATTTCAGCGCTGCCAACTTACCTGGGTTGTGTTCACTATCTGGTCTCTGCCTCTTCCTCTGTCTGGCTGACAGTCTAATTGTCATGTGGGCAGCCTCTGCCGCATGGATTTAGTGTCGCGCTTGCCTTAATTTAATTGAAAAGCTGCGGAAAGGAAGGGGGAGGCAAAGTAGGGAGGGGATGAAAAACAGATAAATAAAAAAGTGGAACCAATCTTTGCCGGGTTCGCTGGGCGGTAAAATGGCTGTGTGTGGTGAATAATGCATGGGGGAGATGGATAGGTCTGTGTGGTGTGAGCCCGGGACTGCTGCCTTCATTACTGAGGCGTTTGTATGCTGATGCTGTGATGCCAGCCCCTCTG